TCGTTCCAATGTACAGCCAAACCCCATTGTCATCCTCCTGGATCGCCAAACCCCAGAACCCGCCTTCGGTATAATACGCGACAACATCCGCCGTTTGCGCTTCGCTGCACTGCGCTTTTAACTGAATCCATCGCAAATAACCGTCGATGTCAGTAACGAAAACATTGCACCCGTCCTTGGTTACCACCACCTCTGTCAATGTCTCCTTCCTTCCCTCCTCAAGATCGACTGCTTTCCGGTCAGCGACAAGAGTTATGTTCCTCGTCGACAGATCCACGGCAAAGATACTATCCTCCATCTGGTCGACGATGTACAGGCAACTACCGTCAGGGGTGAATCCTTGCGGGCGTACGAGCAAGTTGGAGAGGTTCAATCCCATTTCGCGAGGGAAGGTGGCTTCGGGCTTGAACAACATGTCACCTGTAATGCTGGCACTATTCCCCAGCAGAGCTCCAAAGTCTGCAGACATCAGACGCGGCGGATAGGCGGTATCCACAAGGTAGGCGTTGGTCTTCGTCGGATCGAACGCCATGCCACGAGCTGTCATTCCCGGAAGGGGGATCGATCGCCTAGTGCCATTCACAGCAGAGAGCAAGGTTACCATCGCTGTGTCCTCCTCAAGCGGGTTGCCCAAGGCCTCAAATGTTTCAGTGGTTAGCACCAAAGTCGTCCCTTCGTCGGACAAGTCCATGCCATTCAGCCACATCATCGGCTCCATTGTCGAGTTCTCGTTGAAGATGATTGGCGAGGAGGGTCTCATCCCATCGCTATCGTTAAACGCCCACCAGTAAGTAATCAGCGAATCGTTCTGGAAGGCTTCCCATCCCCCTGACCCTGACCTCCGTTCAGCCTTCCGTACGGAGTACAGCCAACTCGACGCGAACTCCTCCGAGTCGGACCCATTCAACTGACTGTAGCACCGCTGGTCGAGAACATAATACAAGACAGAGCCATTGGATGCGAGCCGCAGGTCTTCGAGGACGTTATAGCAGTCGACCAAATCGAACGAGTTGCTGATCGACGCGGGAAACACCGGCTTCAGTGTCGAGTCTGTCAAAGTGAACACCTTCGTCTTGTTCACTATCAGCTCAGGATCGCGGATCGCTGGCAGTATAGGATCGCTAACTTTCAGAGACCTTGAGTTGTATGTCCTCTGTTCAAGAGAAGCGGAACCAGTCCTATGAGCGTGGGAGACACTACCCGCATGCCGCCAAGCGCGGATGCGGTTCTCACACCCGATGCCAGCACTCCGACACCTGTCCTCCCTGTGCCAGCTGCTCACAGCACGCCACCCCGGACCCGCACCTAGGCAGGAACTGAGCACAGTCGCAACGACCAAAAGCGTCACCATCAGC